CAACATGTTTTTTCACTATTTCACCCATTTTTTCTTCTGTTCTTGAATTCTTCATTTGTCTTAGATCCACATATTTGTAAACCAACTAACTATGTTGCATGATGATTGTAACCAAACAACTTAATTTTAGATTCTTCAAAAATAACTGAACATGTTTCTTATTGTTTGGCCAATCAAACAAAACCTATATAGAGAATATTGGGGGTAATTTCGTCAAAAAAAAAAAAGCCAACGGGTCTTTATAACGGCCAGTCAAAGGGTTTGACTAACGGATTCAAGAAAAAAGTTAACGGCAGGGGGGTATTTGATGTTTTTCATACATCAGGGGGGTAAACGATACCTTTCTCATAGTACAGGGGTGCAAAATGAATTTCCTAAAAATTACTTGATAATGTAAGTGTTACGTTTACGTATGTTTTAGTTGGATTATTTTCTTTTAGTTAAATCTTAGCAATCATTGATTTATTTAAGTCGTGGGACTAGGAGTTAGATGACTGTAGCTGTCGGAAGTATATGCCATTGATTAAAATATAAAGCTTGATAAAAACAATCTTGCCACGTCAATTACATTCACTTTTTTTTTTCTTTTCTTTTTTTAGTGACTTCTAAATTTTTCTTATATTATGGCAATTTAGCAATTGTACCACGAATATTTAAAATTTTGACCTAGACCTGTCATAAATTATATATAAATATTTTGACCTACACCCCAACAATCCAATTTTTTTAGAATATTCATTGCCTTAAGTTTTAAATAAAAATTCATTGCCATTGTTTTAAATAAAAATATGGACACTTCCAAAAAAAAACTTAGAAATCGGAATGAAAACAGTTATTGTAAAGTCGTAATCAGATGGATTGGACTGCAATCAATAATTTTAGAAAAATCAAATTTGTTGATCAAACTAAATAACTAGTTTGTGAAAAAATGAAAATACAAATTAAAATGGAAAATTATTCCGAAGTCGAATCGTTGTCAAACTGACCATAGGTTATGGGAAATGGATCCAAAAATTTCAATTGTTTGGGGTGTAATTGTCAAATAACATGATTTAAAGGCAGTAGATGCAAATTATCCAAAACTAGAAGTAGTAGTATTTAGGGTAAATTACGACAAAACCCCTATACTTAGGCTAAATAACGAAAAATACCCCCACCTATCTGTAATAACCAAAAACCCCCTCTGGTTAACTATTGATCAAGTTTTTTAACATAAAATGTGTACAGTCTATTATATCTTCTGTTAAAGAGGTGAAAAGTAAAAGAAAATATCTGAAATTGTGTAAAGTATATTCCCTAAAGAAAAAAAAAAAACCACATGAAAAGTCACACTATAAGGGTTGGTGTAGGATGAAAATAAACTTCAGGAGGTTTTTGGTAGTTACGAATAGGTGGTGGTGCTTTTCATTATTTATCCTAAGTTCAGGTGGTTTTCGTAATTTACCCTATTATCTAAGACTCAATTGCAACTTTGAGAGTAAAATAAACTTCAATCCTGTAAATTAATTGGAGTAGAAAAATGGCGAAAAAGAAGTACCTTCATTAGGCCGACAATGGTTCCGCTGTACTCAGGGAAATTTTGGACGGCGGTCACCACGTTGGCCGTGTTGAAAAACGTCTGCGCGTGGGTGGCGAGGAACATGAACAGGCACATGACCCCCACGCAGGGGCGGAACCAGGATTAGAAAGTAGGGGGGGCTAACTAAAATTTCGGGGTTCGGGGCAGCGCCCGGAAAAAAAATTTAGGTTCACAGGACATTGAAAAAATAAGTTTATACTGCGAAAAAAATTACGACACATATCTATAATATGATATATATCTATAATTTATATGAAATTATGGAAAATAAACAAAAAATTAAGGGTTAGAAAACATATTTACAAAATCTTTGGGGGGGCCAAAAATAATATTCAAAAAATATTAGGTCAAAATAGCTAAAAAAAATTTTTTTTTTTTTCTTGGGGGGTCAACTGCCCCCCCTGCCCCTTCATAGTACCGCCATTGCCCCCACGCGCGGCCGGGCAATGGCTCCGGTGACGGCGAGCCACATGAACATGTACCCCACGAAGCACTGCACCGCACCGGCCAAGTGGACGACCCACGGCTGCGACCACCCAGACGGCAGCGCGTGGCGGCTGCGGCGGCGGCATACGGCGGCGTAGAGGAGGCCGGAAAGTATTCCGGTGTTGGCGCCGATGTCTTTGAAGACGGAAACAGTCTCGAGCGTCGATTGGTCGTAGCCCTGGCTCGATTTGAGGATCGGAGAGTAGATCCCGAAGGCGTAGGATGCGCCGCAGCTGCACTGGATCCAAAATTAAATGTTTTATTGTGTCGGTGTCTGATATATAAAGGCTTAATCTCATTTTGCACCCTTGAAATTGAGCATTTTGCACTTTGCATCCTTGAAAAACAGTAATAGCACTTTGCACACTCGAAACACAATAAATCATTCACAATGCACCATTAATTGAATAATAAATGATAATTTATTTTTTATTGTTTTTTTTCGCAAAATAAAAAAATTTGAACACACAAAAGGCATAAAAATAATAATCACACTGCACAATTGAAAAGATTATATTTTCTTACAAAATAAAATCAAATAAACTTTTACCACTAACTTATTTGATTGATAGATCATTTATTGTAATGGGTGGAAATATTATGTATAAATATTTGGAAGAAAATATGATTTTCAGATAACTTGATAACGAAATATAGCTGAAGGATTTTTTTTCGTAAAATATTTTTTGTGATAAAAAATATAATTTTTAAATTATACTAAAAATATTAAAGTACTTTTATTAGCTTTAAAAATTCGTGTGAATGCATTATGCATGATATGTTGAGTTTTGAGAGTATAAAGTACTATTAATTTGTTTCGAATGTGCGAAATGCCAAAATTGTATATTTTAAAGGTGTAAAGTGGATTAAGCATGTATACAAACAACTTTGAGGTATGCGTCCTTAATTGTCAACTATGATTATTATTTGCAAAATTCCACTTATCCGTGAATACTCGTGGATACAAAATTATTGGTTATAATTAATGCTTAGTAATTTTAATGAAATTAGATTATATTTAAGAATTTATGATATAATTTTTTTTTAATGTAGAAACTCGTTGCTAATCATATTAGTGCACCGAGTAAACATACACTCTTATATAATAACTTGCAAACCATACGAGAAACGTAAACCACACTAGGTATAATAGATTGCAAAGCATATGAAAGATATAAACAATATTAAGTTAATCATGTGTGACAAGTTCAACCTAACAATCGCTGACAAGTAGACTCAAACTTGAGTCAACTGACAGAAATTTATTTGTTCCAATCGCTAGATCAACCGTTGCGAGACGTATATAACTTGATCCAATGAGAGCATATAAGAGGTAAGGAAACATCACATTAGAAAGGTTAAAATAAACTAATATCAATTGAGATTGCACGTGAATAAAAATGAAATACCAATAATTAATTAAAATATGATTGAGTGCCAGTTGTGATCTAGCAACGTGCAAATGACATGCGAACCTCAATTCATAAGTAACATTTACTTGATATTATACATACTAAACATGAGTATATGTAAATCGTATTTTAATGATAATTAGTTAATTAATCTATAAATAATTGTGATCAGTAACATTTTAATAATACATACTACACATTCTACACATGACTTATGCCTAATATTATTTAGGTTTCTTGTGTGGTCTAAAGTAGATATTTATCAGTACACCAATATATATATAGTTGGTTGTATCCTCTGTTATTAATTTATAAAAAAAAAAGGAAAGAAAATTATTAACTTATACATATTATAAAATATCTCTATAAATCATAAATATATTATCCCATAAATTTTAGTGAATTATTAACTTAGCACGTTATCCTCGAGGAATTTTTTAAAATCAGGTTCGGGGCTAGAATCGGTTTTGCTATCCCGCCCCGTCATTTGAAGAAAAAAATATTTCATTCTTTTTAGAGTAAAAAGCAGTTTGCCCCCTAAACTAATGGCCGTTTTGCACTTTGCCCCCTAAACAAAAAAAATTTGCACGTTTTTACCTGAACTCCTTAATTTGTTGCAGGGTGCCTCCTAAACCGAATTTTCCGGCAATTTTGGACGGAAAGTTAAACACGTGCATTGCACATGAAATTTGTAGGGGTAAATTCATAAATTCACTTCCATTTTATATATATTAAATTTAAATTTAAAAAAAAAAAAAAAAAAAAAAAAAAAAAAAACATCTGCAACATCTTCTTCCTCACCCGCCCACCATCCGTGATTTATCTATCCATCTCCAAAGCTCAATCCTGATTCACCTCCTCCGACAAAGACGGCGAAGACCCTCTCTCCTCCCTCGCCGACACCGACCACCCGGCACGCTCCCTAATCCCTCTGATGATGCTAAAATATAGCTCACCTAGGGTGGTGTAGAAAATGAGCTGGGAGAGCAAAGCAGATCAGTAGCTTGACAACTTGATGATCCTGAGGTACCTGCGATCATAGAACACATAAGCTAAGCCGGGGGTTGATCCGGCGGAAACCCCTCCGACGCTCAAGTCAGACGTGATGATCATAGAAATAGTCCAGAGAATACCATTAGTAGTATTGCTCAGATAATAGGACGTACCTTAATAAAATGAGGAAAACCTCTATTTCTATGTCGTTTATTGGGTTGGGGTTGCTTTGTTGGGCCCAAGCCTTACTTGAAGGTGTTTGGGCCTCGGTGATATTAGTCTTCGATATTGGACTCGTAGCCCAGTAGGTAAAGAAATTGTAGGCCCATTGGGTTGGCCCAATTAGGCATATCATTAAGCCCCCCACTCTCGAGTCGATGTGGGGGCCATGTTGTGATGGGTCTCAAATCGTGTCGAGAGTAAAAATTGGAGAAGTCGATCATTGGCGTATGGCCTAATGGTATGCGAAAACGCGTTGGAGCGTGTGTCGGAGGGGTGTGAATGCGCGTTGGCGCATAGCGCGACAAAGTTGCCGCAATATAAATTAATCGAGTCGTCGGTTTTGTCCCGCGACGATGTAGTAGCGATTTATCTCCTCGTGGGAGCTATCTTGTCGCGGGGTAATAGTGTTGATCGAGTTATCTCCTCGTGGGAGTTGTCTCGCGATAATGTAGTAGCACGGATCAAGTAATCTCCTCGTGGGAGTTGTCTCTGGGGTAATCGAGTTGATCGAGTTACGTCTTCGTGGAAGTTGTCTCACGATAATGTAGTAGCACGGAGCTAGTATTCTCCTCGTGGGAGTTGTTATTTTTCGACATTTTCAATGTTTTGACGCGTTGATTGTATGTGTTTACATATAGCTTTCTGCGTGATGTACTTGAGGAGGGGATCAGGCTCTCAAGATTTTTTTTTTTTAATATGGGGGTCGTGCCCCTTGTTAGACCTCGTGGGTCTTAAGTATGTTTGGACCGTGGCCACGTTTTAATGAATGACCCATCGAAAACAAGTAGATAAATTTGAGTAATCAAGCTGGCCAGGCTATATAGATTCTCATAATATCTCTAAGTGCTTCTAGGGTTGTAATCGTGCTAACTTGAGCTTGCGATTATATGGTGAATTTCGGGCGAGTTGTCTCCTCATGGGAGTTGTCTTGAGCGAAGTTGTAGGAGCATTGGATGATGCGCGATTTAGGCGCGTGTGGATTGAGGTTGCTCTGAGCGAGTTGTCTCCTCGTGGGAGTTGTTTCGCAGCGAGTCTTATTATCGAGCGAGGTGGTTGCACGTGGGAGTTGTCTTGCAACGGATTTGTAATATCGAGCGAGTTAGCTCCTCGTGGGAGTTGTCCCGCTGCGGGTTGGGATACCGAGCGAGTTGTCTCCTCGTGGGAGTTATCTCGCTGTAGGTTGTAGTACCGAGCGAGTTGGCTCCTCGTGGGAGTAATCTCGCTGCGGATCATAGGATGGAGCGAGTGGTCTCCTCGTAGGAGTTATCTCGCTGTGGGTTCGTAGGACCGAGCGAGTTGGCTCCTCGTGGGAGTTTCCTCGCTGCGGGTCGTAGGATGGAGCGAGTGGTCTCCTCGTAGGAGTTATCTCGCTGTGGGTTCGTAGGACCGAGCGAGTTGGCTCCTCGTGGGAGTTTCCTCGCTGCGGGTCGTAGGATGGAGCGAGTGGTCTCCTCGTAGGAGTTATCTCGCTGTGAGTTCGTAGGACCGAGCGAGTTGGCTCCTCGTGGGAGTTGCCTCGCAACGGGCTGTAGGATTGAGCGAGTGGACTCCTCGTGGGAGTTGTCTCGCTGTAGTTTTGAGACTAGAGGGGGTTAGCTCCTCGTGGGAGTTGTCCCACAACGGGCTATAGGACGGAGCGAATGGTCTCCTCGTGGGAGTTATCTCGCTATGGTTTCGTAGACCCGAGGGAGTTGGCTACTCGTGGGAGTTGTCTCGCTGCGGGTTGTAGGACGGAGCGAGTTATCTCCTCGTGGGAGTTGTCTCGCTACGGGTTGTAGTTCCGAGCGAGTTGGCTCCTCGTGGGAGTTGTATCGCAACGAGTGTGTAGGGCCGAGCGAGATTGCTCCTCGTGGGAGTTATCTCGCTATGGCGTTGAGACCCGAGGGAGTTGGCTCCTCGTGGGAGTTGCCTCGCAACGGGTTATAGGACAGAGCGAGTAGTCTCCTCGTGGGAGTTAACTCGCTATGATTTTGTAGGGAGTTGGCTCCTCGTGGGAGTTTCCTTGTAAGAGGTTGTAGGACCGAGCGAGCTGTCTCCTCGTGGGAGTTGTCTCGCTGCGGGTTGTATTACTGCGCGAGTTGGCTCCTCGTGGGAGTTGTCTCGCAAGCCCCCCACTCTCGAGAGGATGTGGGAGCCACGTTGAAAAGGGTACCGGATCTTGTCGAGAGTAGATCGGTGTTGTAGTCTTGCGTTAATCGTTGGCATGGTGTGAGAAATAAATTTTTTTTTTTTCTTTTTATTTGATAGCGAACGCAATTTGGTAGGTGCGTTAAAGAGCTCGCGCAATTTGGTGGAGCGCGATGAAATTCTCGTGCGATTTGGAGAAGCGAGTCAAAATCTACGCGCAATTTGGTGGAGGACGGTGAAAGTTGAGCGCGATTTGATGGGAGCACGCAGTCCAAGGGCTCCTTGGAAAGCGCGCGCGCGTGCTTGCGCGCGCTCCAATTTTTTTTTTTTTTTTTTTTTTTTTTTTTTTTTTTTCTGCTGATGCGCGCGTGCTGTGCACGCGCGCGCGTTAGGCGCGTGTCGGCCACGCGCGCGTGCGTTGCACGCGCGCCTCTTCTCTTTTTTTTTTTTTTTTTTTGCTGAAGCGCGCGTGCTGTGCACGCGCGCGCGTCACGCGTGTCTGCCACGCGCGCGTGCGGTGCACGCGCGCCTCCTTCTTTTTTTTTTTTTTCTTGGTGCGCGCGCGCACAGCTGGCTTGGAGGGGCGCGCGCGCGGCGGCTTGGCCGGCTCGGGGGGCGCGCGGCTTGGCTAAAATATATATAAATATATATATATATTTTTTATTTTTTTTATTTAATCTCCTTCTTTTTTCTTCTTCTTTCTTCTTCTCTTTTTTCTTCTTCTTTTTCTTGTGTCTTTTTTCTTCTTCTTTCTTCTTCTCTTTTTTCTTCTTCTTTTTCTTGTGTCTTTTTTCTTCTTCTTTCTTCTTCTCTTTTTTCATTCTCTTCTTTTTTCTTCTATTTTTTTTTTATTTGGTTGATATTCATCTCCTTGGGGATGTTTTATTTTTTGAATAGGATATTACCCTCGTTCCTTGAGATGGAATGTGCACCCCCTTGGGGATGTTCTATTTTTTGAGTAGGGAGATTATCCTCGTTCTTTGAGATCGGATGTGCGCCCCCTTGGGGATGTTCTATTTTTTGAGTAGGGAGATTATCCTCGTTCCTTGAGATCGGATGTGCACCCCCTTGGGGATGTTCTATTTTTTGAGTAGGGAGATTATCCTCGTTCCTTGAGATCGGATGTGCACCCCCTTGGGGATGTTCTATTTTTTGAGTAGGGAGATTATCCTCGTTCCTTGAGATCGGATGTGCACCCCCTTGGGGATGTTCTATTTTTTGAGTAGGGAGATTCTACTCGTCTCTTGAGATGTGATGTGAACCCACTTAGGGTTGAAAGGTAAGGGTCATGTCCAACCTTAGGATGGGGATAATTGCCTACTGTAGGATGAGGCGCTCGAGACCTATGGTCTGAGGTGGATGCGCACGGTTGTGCCATTGGTTCGCGCGTGCGCGTCAGACCTTTTTTTCTGTTTTTTAAGTAGGGACGTGAAACACTTGATGGGATGTGAAACCCCTTGGGGTTGAAAGGTAAGTGGATGTACCACCCTTGAGATGAGATGCCCAACTTTAGGATAGGATAGCCCACCATTTAGGATGAGGCGATCACGAACCACTGGGGTGAGATGCCCAACCTTGGCGATTTATGGTGTCACTGATTCAGTGGCAGCACGAGTTGAATCTTCCGTGATCATACGCTGAAGGTTTTCTTCGGTTATCTGAACCGTTCGAGGGGGCGGAAGTAGAAGTTGATCTTGTTGAAGGTTCGGCGATCATATGCTGAAGGTCCTCTTCGGTTATCTGAACCGTTCGAGGGGGCGGAAGTAGACCCCCAGAGAGTCGATGACCCATGGCGAATGAAATGTTTTGGGGGCACTGTGAACCCCAGGGAGTCGATAACCCTTGGCGAACGAAATATTTTGGGGGCGATGTAAACCCCCAGGGAGTCGATAACCCTTGGCGAGCAAAATATTTTGGGGGCGATGTAAACCCCCAGGGAGTCGATAACCCTTGGCGAGCGAGATATTTTGGGGGCGGAGGTAAGCCCCCAGGGAGTCGATGGCGGTGGTGCCATAGGTGGCTCCACATGTGGAGCAGGTGCTGGTATCGCGTTGGGAGCATTTGCTCCCATCGTGGCGATATATTGGATCACGACCTCTGTGGCAGCGCGAGTTGAAGCTTCTGCTATTATGCGTTGAAGCGCATCCTCAGTTATTTGAACCATTTGAGGAGCAGGGAGTGATGGATCGGCGAGTGGTGGGTCCCGAGGGGGGATCACCTGAACCTCGCGAGGCGGATCCATGGGATGGGGAGGAGGTGGCAAGCCAGAGCCTCCACGAGGTGGGAGGTCGTTAGCTGTGTCATTTTCTCTCCGAGCAGACGCCTCAGGAGGATCTTGTTGGCTACGTGATCTGGTTTGCATCGTTCCCACAGACGGCGCCAAAATGATGATGCTAAAATATAGCTCACCTAGGGTGGTGTAGAAAATGAGCTGGGAGAGCAAAGCAGATCAGTAGCTTGACAACTTGATGATCCTGAGGTACCTGCGATCATAGAACACATAAGCTAAGCCGGGGGTTGATCCGGCGGAAACCCCTCCGACGCTCAAGTCAGACGTGATGATCATAGAAATAGTCAGACGTGTCAACCTCAACATCACCTGGCGGAATATCATCCTCCTCCCCCTCTTCATCCGTCAGCTCAACTTCACTACTTGGCACCGCTTGATCACTCGCCAAAGGAACTTCATTTGAATCATCACTATCGCTCCCAAAGTCCACGACTTGACGCCCATAACGACGTCTACTGGAATCTGTTTCATCAACAGTAGGAGAAATAGTAATATCCTTATGCACTTCTACATCGTCACTCCACGATTCAATGATTTCTCGCCGACCAAAACTTCCCCCAAGTAAAACATCACGCGCATCAGCACCTTCGGAAGTTTGCCCATTAATTACGCGCGAACCGAGCCCGAAACCGACTTCACACGCGCCCTCACGCGCGCGCGCGACCCCAAAAGGGGCTGAGTCACGCGCGCGCGCGTCCCCCAGTACAGCTAGCCCACGTGGCTCTTCCACGTCCACACACGCGCGCTCACGCGCCCCGAAACCCTCCAGCGACGCGCGCGTACGCGCGCCCACATTGGGCAGCGCGCGCGCGTCATCACCGCCCTCCCCATTGGCCCCCGCGCGCGCGTCCGTTTCACTCCTCCCACCAGACGCGCGCGCGCGTCGCTGCAAGCTCTCCCCGTCCACGCGCGCGTCAGCTTGTACAAGTGGACCAATGGCGCGCGCGCGTCCACCTAACCCACCAACCGACGCGCGCGCGCCCCCTTCTCTCTCCCCCACTGACGCGCCCATGCGTCCCTCGACCTCCTGCCAGACGCGCCCACCTCAGCAGCTCCCTTCTCTCTCTCCTCGTGGGAAATTGTGCCAACCCCCACAACGGCGGCTCGACTTGGCTCCACACACAGATTGGGAGGGTTGGCTCCGCGGCTCGAGCCGTCAGCCGTCCCAACCCTACCCACCACCCTCCTTTTCGCTTCGATTCGCCTACTAGCCGACGCGAATCCGACTTCCTCATCTGTTATTACTACCTTCTCGCGTTCCATACCCACCGTACCAAAAGTTTTCTCGCACCCCTCGATCGGATCTCGAAGTTTAATACGCAAGGACTTTGACTTACTCGGGTTCGACATGATATATTTTGATCCGGACGAAATACGAAAAAATTTCTACTCTACCACAACAAATAATTCTCAAGAGAAGAATAGCACAGAAGAAGAGCTAGAGTTAAAAATACATACCCATATTTATTACGCGAGAGTTGAAGATTAATTCTTTCCACCGCAGAAAGAGTCTATTTATCTGGCCCTGGTATATTATTTAAAACCCTTAAATATATACCTCGCTGCCAAATAAATACAATTATTCCTTATTTAAATTAAGGAATTAATTCACCACCAACGGAAACAATTCACTCCACGACGCAATTAACTCTCGACACGACCCGGGTCCCTCTACACAAGTCCCCGTCTCGAATCGAGAGTTGGGGGGCTTAATGATATACCTAATTGGGCCGACCCAATGGGCCCCAATTTATTTAATAATTAGGCCCAATACAAGAAAGTATTCGGGCCCATTACCTAAAAGCCCAAGCACCTTCAAAGTAAGGCTTGGGCCCAACAAAATAAGCCCAACTTAATCAACGACATATAAATAGAAGTTTTATTCATTTGTAAAGGTACGTTCTGATTATTAGCAATTCACCTCGAGTTTTGTTCTCTCTACTCTCTCTACGATCCGTACATCTGACTTGAGCGTCGGAGGGGTTTCCGCCGGATCAACCCCCGGCTTAGTTCACGTGTGCTATTTTCGCAGGGACCTCAGGATCGTCGAGTTATCCAGCTACTGATCCGCTTTGCTCTCCCAATTCATTTTCCATACCCCCTAGGTGAGCTACATATTAGCATCATCACCCTCCTTCTCTCCTCCGCCGCTTTTTCCTCCCCTTCCTCCGGCTCCGGCGAAGACCCTCTATGACACCGGCTTTACGACAACTATCTCTCCTCTGATCCCGACTACAACTTGTCATAATCTCTTACCTCCGCCTAATTATCTCATCCATCTATCTCCACTGCATCCACCATACGACCTCCGATGTCCATTCTTTCTCCTGTCAAATCATAAATGTCATTTTCGATTCTTCCTTAAAGAGAGAAATTGAAATCTTCCTATTCTTCCTTAGTTGTTCCAGTGTCCCCATCACCAATTCTCTCAGCCTCTGCAATTCTTGTCATTACCACGTACTTCGCCTCCTCATTAGCCTCGTCGCCGGCAAAACAGAGTAGTTTCACAATGGGATGGTGGCGGTTGTGGGCAAGGGTTGTTGTCTAAGTTTATGGGCTGGGAATTTGGGGATGGGTCAGGTAAATTGCAGCGGCAGAAGTGGTGGGAACTAGAGGCGGCAGCGGAGGAAAAAAAAAGGGGGCAGTGGTGGGTCAGGTAAATGAACAAGAAAGAAGAAATAGAACAGAGCGTAAAAATGGGGAAGAAGAAAAAAAGAAAAAAATAAAAAGGAAAAGAAGAAGAAATAGAACAGAGCAGAAAAAGGGGAGGAAGAAAAAAAGGAAAAGAAAGAAAAGGAAAAAAAGGAAAAAAAGGCCTGTGGTGGATTTTTTGCCTTTTTTTCCTTTATTATAAATGTTATTTTATATTTAATATATACATTTTAAGAATGGACAATTTTACCCCTGTAAATTGCACGTGCAACGCATGTGATTTAACATTCTGTTCAAAATTGCCGGAAAATGCAGTTCAGGGGGCACCGTACAACGAATTAACTAGTTCAGGTAAAAACGTGCTAATTTTTTTTGTTTGGGGGGCAAAGTGCAAAACGACCATTAATTTAGGGGTAAACTGCCTTTTACTCTTCTTTTTAAGTTGCGAAAATTCATGGGGAGATCAACAAATTCGACAGAATGACATGTCACTAACTTAAGCCGAAATCAATTATGCACTGTGAATGAAATAGACACAAACTTTCAAAAAGTGATGTTTTAATAAAAAAAATACTCAAAATTATTCAAAACCAAGATCCTAATCAAATCAAAGATCCTAATCAAAGAAAATAAGAGGACAAGCAAGAAGACTCGAGATAAGGACACAAGTACTCCTCATGTAGGTGGTGATTATAGGACATCCATAGTATCGAACCGACTCAATAATATTACTACCCAAGTTGTAGAGAAAAATCTTTTCTGCTTGTCGAAGTACAATCACAAGTGGATACCAATTCGGCACGAAGCACTCCAATCGAATCCTATTCATCCGATTCTTCTCGGGATTCGGAACATAAAAAAACACGCCCAACGATTCAATGTCGATATCGTGGACCAACTCCCATTCATGGCAAGGTATCGTTTTTTTCCGCTTGTAACTCATTCTACCTTCTTCTTCTTCACGCTTCGGCAGTTTATAGATTTGGATTTTGTCGGGGTTGATTGTTCCAAACCATAACGTGTTGTCGACAGACGACCTTGTTATAGCTCGTGAAACCGCATCATCCAAATACGGAATCTTGATCAATTGGGCGTGGCCCGTTTCATCGCTAGGGTCGTAGAGCGCAATCTGCCAATTGTACGTGAACCAGTGAAAAACACCGTTCGCCACCAACGGCGGCCCGGGCAAGGGGTGCAGGACGAATCCCCCCGTGCCAACGAGCGTCGACGGGAGCCACTCGCCCGTCTTGGATGAGTAGGTCTCGATGGACAATGTTTGGTCGAGATCATCCATTAAGGCAGCTCGAACAACTATGTAGCTGTTGTCCCCCTCCCATGCGGTGACCATCAATCCGATCGTCCAATCACGGTAATATTGTTGGTCTAGACGACGACGTAGCGGCGGTGGCAGTGGGACCCACTTTTTGGTCACCGGGTTCATGATGTGGTACGTGGACGGGTGGCGGCCGCAGAGGACTAAACCCTCGGAGGAGTTGATGAAGTATCCTAGTTCCTTTTCGACACACATTATTTCGGGTTTCCGTCGGGAAAAACGGCGAGTACGTTCATTGCGCGTTCCGAAGGACGGCGGCGGTATATTCCGGACAAATGTTTGGTTGTTAATTGGAACAGTGCCAGCAGACGGCTGCCGTCGTCTCCGGTGACGGCGGAGCGGCGGCGTTGTTTGTTGTTGTGGAACTTAAGAAAGGTAGGATCGTTGATGAGATACTTCCACCTTTTGGAGACGGTCATGAACTTGAAAAGGGTTTTCGGAGGCAAGTGGACCAGCAGGGGCGGTACCATGAAGGGGCAGGGGGGGCAGTTGACCCCCAAGAAAAAAAAAAAAAAATTTTTTTAGCTATTTTGACCTAATATTTTTTTAATATTACTTTTGGCCCCCCCAAAGATTTTGTAAATATGTTTCTTAACCCTTAATTTTTTGTTTATTCTCCATAATTTCATATAAATTATAGATATATATCATATTATAGATATGTGTCGTAATTTTTTTAGCAGTATAAACCTATTTTTTCAATGTCTTGTGAACCTAAAATTTTTTTCGGGGCGCCGAAATTTTAGTTAGCCCCCCCCTACTTTCTAATCCTGGTTCTGCCCCTGTGGACCAGTATCTCCCTCAACAAGTCATCGTTGATTTTTACGTTTTTCTTTGAATCCATGGCGGTGGCGTTGATTTTCAGATAGGGAATTGTAGACAGAATATATACGACGGATTTCACTTTTGAGAGAGGGAGTTGTAACTATACGTGTGTATATATGGAGAAAAAATAGATATCTAAGAAATTAGTACTCTCTTTTTTACATTCCCAATATAATTAAGGGTTAAATACAAAAACACCCCTGTACTATGGACTTTGTATCATTTATCCCCCTGTACTACACATAAATACAAAAACCCCCCTGCTATTATATTTTTTTCCATAATATGACGAAAATACCCCTGCTAAACCTATAAATATAAGGGTTTGTTTGAGCCATTTTCCACTATATTTTTTAACATTTTCGGTCAATTTTACTTGGGAAATTTTTATTTTTTCCTTCAAAACATTTAATTACTTAAATTTTTTTTTTAAATATCTGAATAAAAACCTTTTATTTTTGTCATTTTGAATTTATTCATTTTTTTCTTAAATGTCTTCCGGTAGTTCAAATTCTCAATAATAATAGGATTGTAAAGATGTTTGTAATCTTAGAATGTTTGAACTACCGGAAGACATTTAAGAAAAAAAATGAAGAAACTCAAAATGACAAAAATAAAAGGTTTTATTTAGAAAATAAAAAAAATGTAAGCTATTAGATGTTTTGGAGAAAAAAAGTATAAATACCAAAATTTTCAAAGTAAAATTGACTGAAAATGGTAAAATATATAGTGGAAAATGGCTCAATATATATATATATATATATATATATATGTATATGCTTGAGTAGGGGTATTTTCGTCATATTTTGGAAAAAATGCAATGTGAGGGGGGTTTTTGTATTTATGGGTAGTACATGGGGTAAATAATACAAAGTCCATAGTACATGGGTGTTTTTGTATTTAACCCTATAATTAATTAGGACTCTTTTTTTTACAATATAATTAATGAGGACTGTTTTTTTACGTTCCCAATATAAATAAAAATAAAAATAAAAAGGTAAATAAATATTTTTAAAAACTAAATTATTAATAGGGACAAGTACAGATAAATCCCCAACTCAAAAACTAATATACGGGTCAGTCCCCAGTAATGTTTTACTAGCGGGTCAGTCCCTACAGCAAACATAAACATGCAGTTCAGTCCATGACCCCACTTTTTTTCACTTTATACACTCTCTCTCCTCTCTCCTCTCTCCTCTCTCCTCTTTCTTCTATTTCTTCTACACTCTCTCTCCTCTCTCCTCTTTCTTCTACACTCTCTCTCATCTCTCCTTTTTCTTCCATTTTTTCTCTTATGTTTCTCTCTCCTCTTCGTTTCCTCATATTCTCTGTTACAACTTTTTGTTTTCCGACCGCGAAAAAAAACTGTAATTTCCCACAATGGCAGCAAATGGTGAATCAAACCCCATCGCCGCTGGTATTATTGGAAGTTGTCGGTACAGTGATTCTCTGCACATCATTTCCATTAAGAATGATTCGACTTTAAAGGAGATCTATGAATCTATCTTAATGAAGTGGAACGATATACATCCCGACAAAT